CTGAAAAGGGCAGAGTGAGTGAAAAGGTGGAAGGAGTTGGGTCCTTGATGACAACACTGAGCCTTTGAAGCAGGCCAGGAACTGCCATACTCTTGACATTTTGTTAAGGGACATAACAGATGGCTTCATTGTTTAAGTAAGCCATTTTTAGTCCAAAATGGGTAATTTCAGGTGATAACTATGGCAGCTATTGCTAGTTAGGCTTTCATACATTTTTCCTTTCCCATGGCTTCCTTTGTGCTGTTGGTGCCTACCTGCCATTAGAGAGGCCAAAAATGCCTCTCTAGCATTTTCCCAGCCTCCCTTGCAGCTAGGACATGGATGTGTGGCCCAATTCTGGCCACTTAGGTTTGTGGAATGGTCTGTTTTGAGCCTCCTGTGAAAGCTTTTCTCCTTAATAAAAACTGGAATTTAGGGAACATGCTCCTATTTTTTGCCAATGCAGTTGTGTCTTCATGTGACACTGGAAACTATGGCTGCCATCTGTGACAATAAGTGCCTAAGCGTGAAGCCAGTATGCTGAGAATGACTGAGTGAGAGATGAGAAAGGCCTATGGTCTCAATGACATGTAGAATACCCGGACTGATTGTGGATCTTCCCTGCCTCTTCAGTTCTCTTTATGTGAGATAATAAATGTCATAATTTTTAAAACTTTTGTTGTTGTTGTTGAGTGTTCTGCCCCTTGAAGCTAGAGCCATCTTAACTCATGTATAAGATTAATATTTTACCTTAAGTCCTGCTCTCTGTCCTCAAAGTCCACCAGAAGTAAAGAACAAAAAAGTTTCTGTTAAAATTTTAAACATCAGCCGGTATTATATTTTGCTTATGCAAAATGCTGTTATATCAGGATGCACTCACAGACTATTCCTGTGACCTTTCATGTGAAACAGATCATTAGGTATTCAAGAAAACTACAAAGACATCTCCCTTCAATGTTCCTGCAATTTGGAGAAATAACAAAACTATAAAAGGGACAGCCGTGCTCCCATGGATGTTTTCCTTCAGCTGGACATTATAATTTCTGAACTGAATTTTCATCAAAAGAAGGACTTTCATAACTCTTGAGAGCTGTCAATAAAAATGTATTGAAAATGTTTCTAAAAGAAAATCAACTGTACGTATTTTTTTAATTTGAAAAAATAGAGTAGAAATACTATAGGCATACCTCATTTTTACTGCACTTCACATTATTGTGCTTTGCAGACACTGAGTGTTTTACAAACTGAAGGTTTGTGGCAATCATGCCTTGAGCAAATCTTATTGGCACCATTTTTTCAACAGCGTGTGTTAACTAACTTCTTGCCTGTGTGTCAAATTTTGGTAGTTCTTGCAATATTTCAAACTCTTTCATTGTTACCACATCTGTCATGGAAGACTGTGAACGGGGATCTTTTTACTATAGTCATTGTTTTGGGGCTCTAACAACCATGCCAATATAAGATGGTGAATTTAATTGATAAATGGTGTGTGTCTTAACTGCTCCACTGACTGGTTGTTCCCCTGTCTCTCTCTCTCTCACTCTCCTTGGGCCCCCCGTTCCCTAAAAACAATAATAATGAAATTAGGACAGATAATAACCCTACAATGTTCTCTAAGTGTTCAAGGGAAAGAGCCACATGTCTCATTTTATATCAAAAGCTAGAAATGATTAAACTTAGTGAGGAAGGCAGACTTGAGAGCTAAGAGGGGCTGAAAGCTAGGTATCTTGTACCAAACAGACAAGTTGCAAATGTGAAGGAAAGGTTCTTAAAGGAAATTAAAAGAAGTACTCCAGTGAACACAGCCTTATTGCTGATATGGAGAAAGTTTGAGTGGCCTGGATAGGCTAGCCACAGTATTCTCTTAAACCAAAGCCTGATCTAGAGTAAGGCTCTAACTCTATTCAGTTCTACCAAGGCTGAGAGAGGTGAGAAAATTGCAGAAAGGTTAAGTTTGATGCTAGCACAGTTTCATTCCCGGGGTTGAAGGAAAGAAGCTATCTTCACGACATAAAAGTTCAAGATGAAGCAGCAAGTGCTGATGTGGAAGCTGCAGCAAGTTCCAAAAGATCCAGCTAAAGTCACGAAGAAAGGTGACTACCCTAAACCACAGACTTTCAATGTACATAAAACAGCCTTCTGTTGGAAAAAGATGCCTTCCAGGACTTTCATTGCTAGAGAGAAGTCAATGCCTGATTTCAGAGCTTTAAAGGAAAGGCTGACTCTCTTATTAGGAGCTGATGCAGCTAGTGACTTTAAGTTGAAGCCCATTTACCATTCTGAAAATCCTAGGGCCTTTAAGAATTATGCTAAATATACTCTGCCTGTGCTCTATAAATGAACAACAAAGCCTGAATGACAGTGCATCTGTTCACAGCATGGTTTACTAAATATTTTAAGCCCACTGTTGAGACTTACTGCTCAGAAGATAAGATTCCTTTCTAAATATTGCTGTTCATTGACAATGCATCTGGTTACCCAAGAGCTCTGAATGTTGTTTTCATTCCTTCTAACACAATATCCATTCTGCAGCCCATGGGTTGAGGAGTAATTTCAATGTTCAAGTCTTACTGATTCCTCTGATGGATCTGAGCAAACTAAAATGAAAACCTTTTGTAAAGAATTTACTATTCTAGATGTGATAGAGAATATTTATGACCCATGGAAGGAGATCAAAATATCATCATTAACAGGAGTTTGGAAGAAGTTGATCCTAACTCTCATTGATACTTTGAGGGCCAAGCCTTCAGTGGAGGAAGTAACCATCAGATGTGTTGGAAATAGTAAGAAAACTGGAATTAGAAGTGAAGCTTGAAGATGGGACTGGATTGTTACAATCTCATGATAAAACTTGAATGGATGAGAAGTTCCTTCTTATGGATAAGCAAAGAAAGTGGTCTCTTGAGTGGAATCTATTCCTAGTGAAGATGCTATGAACACTATTGAAATAACAACAAAAGATTTTAAATATTATAAAAATTTAAGGGATAAAGCAGTGGCAGGATTTAAGCAGATCAACTCCAATTTTGAAAGACATTTACTGTATGTAAAATGCTACCAAACAGTATTGCATGGTTTGGCATATGTAAATGAAAAGAAAAAGAAAAAAAACAGCATTTCATTCTACATGGACATCTTTTGTAAAAGGGAGAGTCAATTTATGCATCTGACATATTTTGAGAAATTGCTACAGCCACCCCAAACCTTAGCAACCACAACCCTGATCATTCTGCAGTTATCAACATCAGGACAATACTCTCCCCCAGCAAAAAAAAATTATAATTCACTAATGGTTTAGTTAATTGTTACCATTTTTTAGGAATAAAGTATTTTTAAATTAAGGTCTGACTTTTAAAAGTCATAATGCCACTGCATACTTAGTAGACCACAGTATAAACACTTAAATGCATTGGCAGCAAAAAAAAATTTGTGAGTTGGGTTATTGCTATATTTGCTTTATTGCAGCAGTCTGGGACCTAACCTACAGTATTTCCAAGGCATGGCTGTACATTTCTGTTTAGCTTAAGTGTAAAACGGAGGAGAATTTAGAACTTTACTTCCTAGGACTATTTTCTTTTATATGTAAATACATGTCCATAACATATATCCGTAATATAGAAAGACAAGGTGAAGAAAGATGTTGCTGGTATTCTACTGGTCTGTTTTAGGGTCATTGATGGGAAAAAGAGGTCAATATTAGTTTTTCTCTGTTGGAAGTGACTTGGTTTTTCTATAGGCTTTTCGTGATTCTGGAACTACCCCTTTTAAAGCATGCTTAGCTCTGCAGAGCTGTGAAGGTCTTTTCAGATAAGAAGCTCTATAATCCACTTATCTTCAGGGTGTATCCTTTGATAGCATTTGGACAGATTAACCAGCAACTGAACTGCTATATTTTGTCGTGGGCGAACAGGTTGCCTGAGTCAGGTATCCATTCCTTGAGGTAGCTAAATTGGCTTAGGACCAACGTTGAGTGAGCTTTTTTCGCTCTGTGCATCACTGCTCCACCTAGTTCAAGTTCTGACGGCTTCCTGATTTTGAGATTCTCTTGGGAAGTATCCCTGCTTTAGCCTAAGGCTGGATTACCGAAGGCAACCTTTCACCTACTTTAGGAAAAGTTAAAACTAAACAATGATGTTGGGTTCAAAAATAAAAGAGCCCATCCTACTACAAAAGTCTTCTTATAGTACACCATAGTTGTTATTTTAGTCAGTTTGTGTTGTGGGGGTCCTATGTGTGTTTTGTTTTGTTTGAGGGGAGGCAGTCTACCTGAGTGGGGTGGCTTTTTTCCCTTGTGTAGTGTCCAAAATGAGATGAATAGTAAACTCTTTAAATTACAGAAACACTTTAGCTCCCTAAAAACAACAATTTGGAGTAAACTTTATTTTTTGAAAAGAAATATCAATTTTGTACCGTGAGTGCATTTAGGGGATGGGTTATATGCTGGGTTACGTGAGGTCAAATCAAGAGAAATATCATAATAATGGATATACTTTCGGTTTTTGAGCCTCTTCCTGTCCCAGGCATTTCCAAGAGTCATTTTATTTTGCAAGATTTGACAGACATTTGTGCAAGAACAGAATAGCCTAATCCAGTTAAACAACGAAAACTGATATGCATATTACTTTATACTCTATATTAAGATTTACACATTACAGCAATAACAGTGGATTTGCAGTTCTGCTTTTGGGGGTTGGTTTTTCCTCCTAGAGAGGGACAGCCCTCCTCCAGATCCTACCGTGCTGGCCTCTTCCTCCCACGCTGTGGCCGCAGAGCCTTGTTCCCCTCCCCCACCGGCCGCGGTCGGTACCGCCTGGCCCACCCTGTCCCCGCCCCACGCCGGCTGCGGCGGAGTCTCGGCCGCCGCGGCTCCGCGGAATGACCCGTAGTAACCCCGCTCCGCCCCGGGCCGCCAGCGCCGCGCTCCCCGGCCCGAATTCGATAGGCCCAGCCCCGCACGCGCCACCGCCCGCGGGCCAATGGGCGGCGGCCTCTCTGCATATGCAACGAGTGCCGGCCGGGGGTGCGCGTCCCGGGCGGTTCGGCTCAACAGACGCTGGTCTGCCGGCGCCGGGGAGCGACGCTGCAGTTGTCGCGGCGGACGGGGCAGCAGACGGGCGTCCCCTCGCAGTGTGGCCGCGACGGCTGCGCCCCAGGGTACCCAGGAGGCGGCGCGGGGAGTGAATGATCTGGGGCTCTGTCGGGCCGGTGTGGGCCCAAGGCCGGAGTAACCCGCGCCCCGGCGTCGCGGTGAGTGCGGCGCCCGTTGTGGGAGAGGCGGGGGCCGGTTGGCTGCGTGGCCTCTGCGTGCGACTCGGCTGGGCCCGAGGGTCGCCCCAGGCTAGGGGAGGGTCGCGGCCGGCCTAGGGGCTTGGGTCCTCGGCGTTGCCGCCCGATCTGGCCCCGGGGGTGTCCGCGCAGGACTCCTGCAGCACTGGAGAAAGCAGCGGGCAGGGTGAGAGGCGTCCACGCCGGGGGCCGGGGACCGGCTTACGTGGGGCCTGGGCCGGAGGGCCCCCGCGAGCCGAGGAGCCGCAGCCTGAGCGGCGTGGGGCGGCGCTAGCGCAGTGCTGTCCCGGGAGGAAGGATGCGCTGGGTCCCTCCGGCGCTCTGGGGGCGGAGGCGGAGGCGGATGGGGGGCCGGCCGCTTGAGGTGGGCTCTGCGGCGGCCAGAGCGTTGCGGCGTCCACGGGAAGGAAACACAGCCTGCAATTTCGGAAAACCCATGCTTGGGGGGGCCCAGGAGTGTCTGTTGCTGCGTGATGTGCGAAGAAATTGGGCGTGTGAGGTGGGTCGGCCTTAGTAATTTTGTTCTGGGCAGTGTCTGTGATGCTGAGACTGGGATTTAGACCGACGTCTGGGGTTGGGAGCTGTAGGTTTACTTTTCCCCATCTGCGTTTTAATTAGACACTAGTGATGTGGATGGAACACTTAGGGAGTGTTCACACCCGGCAGTCCTGTGCGGTAGGTATTACCAGGCCCGTTTTACAGATATGCCCGAGGAACAGATTTAACTGGTTAACCCAGGCAGTCTGGTATTGGAAAATACGCTCCAAGCTATTGTATATGAGGCCCCTCAAAAATAGAGGAGAACAACGCCTTTAAACTTATATGGGAAACCAGAGACGGAGTAGGCTTTGTTAATGAGATTATAGCTGAATAAAATGACAAATAGCTGACATATATTGAGCCTTTATTACGCGTCACACACTGTTCTAAGAGCTTTATGCGCAGTGTCTTTATACTGTTAACAGTATAAAGTTAACCTCCACTAGGATGGAGGTTATTCCCATTTTGCAGCGGGAGAAACTGCAGTGTGGATATGTTAACTTGCTGGCAGTTCTAAGCTAGTCAAAAAAGAAGCTGGGATTCAGACAGGCCTGTCTAAATCCAGAGCTCTCACATCTAACCCTATATTATGCTGCCTCTCTTTGGTGGCTGGCTGAATAGTTTCCACAGTGGATTTTAATCTGGATGGCCAGGAGAGCTGAAGTGTCATGATACATTTTTTCGTGATCATCCCAACCTGTTGTGTATTGCTGAAAGTGTATTAGAAGATGGTGAGGTGGTACGACATGGGAGTCAGTTGCACACACTTTATTCTTCTGTTTTTGTGCAGTTTTCACATTTCTGGATGGGTAAAGCTCTTCTTGTCACTCTGGCATGCATTTTCTCTTTAGACTTTTCCTAGTTTCTCTCTTTTTTTCCCTTTTGGTGAGACAAAATCTCACTCTGGCTCTGTTGCTTGGGCTGGAATACAGTGGTGTCCTCGTAGCTCACTATAATCTGTGATGTTCCTACCTCAGCTCCCAAGCACATGGGCTATAGGTGTGTGCCATTAGCCCGGCTAAGTTTTCTATTTTTTGTAGAGACAGGGTCTTGCTCTCCCTCAGGCTGGTCTCAAACCCCTGGACTCAAGTGATCTTCCTGACTTGGCCTCCCAAAGTACTAGGACTACAGGCCTGAGCCACTGTGCTGGGCCCCTGGTTTTTCTCTTCGTAAAAGGTGTTGGTTCTGTACCAGGGCAGTGTTGTCGGATATAGAGCTGAGTGATCTATTGTACTTAAGGGTCAAGGTGACCAGTCACCTAGTGTCTTTGGATGTCAGTGGATTTGTCAGATGTTTGGCTGAGGTGATTTAAAGCACAAATAATCTGTGAGTCTAAATGCCCTCCATGAAGAAAGAAAGGAAGGATGGGAGAAACGAAGGATGAACAAATTATAAAAAGATCATCCTCTTTCTGATTGTGGACAGGGGTTAAGGTGGGAGATGCTGGGAATAGAACAGTGAATAGAATTGATGTGATCCTTGCCCTATGGAGGAAATAAGACAGGAAGCAAATGATCATACAGATAACATGTAATTTTAAGTTTTGATACATGCATGAAGGAAAAAGTATTTTGTGAATGAAGATTATAAACGGGATTGTGGATTAGATGGAAATCTAGTCTAGGGAGCTCTTTTGAATTGATGTGATGAGATTTTACTAGATGACAGCCTTGAATTCTGAGGCTATAATTAAATGCACCTAACTCAAGAGTTTGAGAACTTTTGAGCAACAGCAGTTCTTTTCATTTCATATTGTCTGTTCCTAGGGAGAATGTCACTCTAGTTCACATTGCAAGATATGGAAATGAGATAGGGACCTGTTTCAAGCAGTCATTCTGTTTGCCTTCGGGGTGTTTAAAGCTTAAATGTTCCTGTAATACTTATTTTCAAGATGAATAGTTGTAAAGCAGGACTCAGATTCTTGAATGTGAGTTTTGGTCTTGAAGATAGAATTTAGATACTTTTTTTTTTTTTTTGAAAATCTAGATAAGCAGCATGGCAATTATCAAAGCTATCAGTTGTGGTTTAGACTTTACTGGGTGATTTAGCTTAAAATTCTCACCCCTTAGGACATTGTTTTGGTAGCCTGACTGAGAACTACAGACTGTTAAATATATAATGTTTCAGTTGAACATGTATGAAGCTAATAGAGACAGTTCATTATAATGCATTTACTGAATGCCATCTGTGTACAAAGCACTATCTTAGGTTGACCATGTTGAATAAATAAAAAGATGAACTTGACAAAGTTCTTGTTTTCAGTGAGATTTCACTGAATACTGATGTTCAAATTTCAGTTTTTATTCTAAGTGCCGTCATATACTCCACAGAGTAGAGTCTAGGTAGAGTGCAGTGGTATCATCATAGCTCACTGGGGTCTCAAGCTCCTGGGGTCAAGCGATCTTCCTGCCTCAGCTTCCTAAGTAGCTGGGACTACAGGCATGTGCCACAGTGCCTGGCTAATTTTTCTATTTTTAGTAGAGACTTGAGTCTGCTCTTAATCAGACTGGTCTTGAACTCCTGAGCTCAAGTGATCCTTCTGCTTCGGCCTCCCAGAGTGCTAGGATGGTAGGCATGAGCTACCATGCCCAACTCATGATCTTCTAAGAGTCTTATGCGTGTATAATGAGTTGGTAATATTGAGAAAATGAAGGTTTTAGACATAAAATTGGCAGGGCATGATGATAAATAGTATATGGGGTGGGAAAAGGTGGTGTCAAGCACTGGGTTTCAGACTTATGTGCTGAAGGAGTGTATGTGCTGTTCACTGAGCTGGGGCTCACGGGGAGAGAGGTGGATTTTGTATAGGGATAGCATGGCTTTAGTTTGGGGAATGTTCCTTTGGAACTGCCTTTGAGACTTCTTTTGAGATGCTGGTTTAGTGCTCAGAGTCGGGATGGACATTGCCATTTTGGAGCCCTTAGTTTAAAGTGAGAGCTCAAACTATCGGCATGGGTGAGATTGCCTATGGAGAGACTGCAGAGTAGGAATGGATGGAGCTGGGTAGAGGAGTTGGAGCTTGATAAGGAGACAGGAGGAGTGGTGAGCAAAGTGAGAGACAGCTAGAAACAGATGTCTCTGCAGCAGGAAGCGGTTTATACTCTGAGATGCTTCTGTGAGAGGAGAATGGAGGACAATCCATTGGATTTAGTAACATGGAGGTCATAAAGGTCATAGGTAACCTTTGAAAGAGATGCTCATCTGGCGGCAGGGGTAGGAGTGAGGAGGAGACAGCAATGTACAGGTTATACTCATGTTCACATTTCAGCATGTTTAAGTGCTGATGGGAAGGCTCAGTGGAGAGGAAGAGGTTGAGTGGGGATTAGGAAAGGGTTTGTGCATAGTTCCTGAGAGGATGGGAGTGGGTAGGATCCAGAACACAAGTGAGGCCTGTGTTTTAGCTGTGGGGGTGGTGGGGACACCCCTTCACAGAAGACAGGCCAGTAACTTACCATGGAGCCCTAAGCAAATACTAAAAAATTGTTAAGAATTGTTAAATTTTCAAAAAATCAACCCAATTTTAGCTGACTCAAGACATATAAGAAAAATCCACCACAAAAGCAGTGTGTGAAATTGACTTAATATATGGCTTAGTCTTGAGTTCATCCCTTCAGTAGGGCGTATATTTTAATCTCATTTTTGATTATAGTTTATTTCTCCGAAAGAGGAGACATTTTAAATGTTAAATCTTGTGATTCCTTCTCTGTGTGCTTATTTTGGGTTTCATAAGAAAAAACTTTCAGACTGCTTCTGTTTTCTTGACATTTTAAGTACCTTAATTCTTTTTATTTAGTTGTTTTGGCTTCTGTTATTATTGGATTGTGTTTACTTATGTGCTTCTGATTTTTCCCATTTTGAAGGATAAAGAATTAGATCAGTGGCTCTCAACCTTCCTAATGCTGCAGCCCTTTAACACAGTTCCTGTGAGTCACGACCCACAGGTTGAGAATCAGTGGGCTCAATTGATCTGCTAATTTTTGTTTAGAATTGAAAATACTTAACCTTTTAGATAAGTCACCTCTAAATACAAGTTTCTACTTATTTGTGAAGGATATACACAGGGGCATGGGTTTGTTCATGTCTGTATTTATATTGTGACTATCTAACAAGGCCCTTGGAATTTAAAAATGATGAGTGTGGAAAGTTCCTGCTCTCAGGGAGCTCACAGTTCACTAAAGGAAGGAGATGTTTGAACAAACCTTATGGAATGGGATAAGGGAAGAAGGCACGTGAGCAGATTCATTACAGTTTGATACTACTAACCAATACTGCAGTGGAAGTGGCTAGGAAATACAGGAAGAGTGCAGAGCAGGCCCAGAGTAGAGGGGGAAAGGGGCACGCAGTGGAGGCGAGAGCTGAGCCAGGTTTCCTAGTGAATTGGAGTTTTGCTTGGAGAACAGGGAGCCAGGTTTACCTTGAAT